AAGGTGTAAAAAGTAAAAGAAGAAAGAAAGAGAAGAAAGAGAAAAGAAGGAATATAATAAGGAAAGAGAAAAGAAATATATAAAGAAGTTACTTCCAACCTTTATCGCAACAAGTATAAACAAATTTTGTGACTCTTCACCCCCTCTAAGGTTACAAACATTTATCTCTTCATCCCATATCCCATCTTTTATCTATAAACAAATCCATAAAACATAATCTTTTCAATTCTGGTGTCAGCAGAAAGTCCATAAAGGGTTGTCAGAGGTAACAACATATCTTATTTTAACCTTGATCAAATAAGCCAACTTTATATACCTTCCTTTTACTTCTAACAGTCTCAGTCTTTAGTTCATTCAAATATTGTCTTAGGATTTGATTTCTCTTCATTTCTTCTTTGTCCCATCACAGAATTCTTCAAGACTTTAACAAGCCTTTTTGTAAATCCAGTAGGAGAAAATTATCCTCTTGGTTTGTCATTTGTATTCCCTTTTTAATTTTAAAGCCTCAGCCTCAATGAGACATCCTTTTCTAAGTCATTCTCTTGACCTGTAAGTTAGAAATCCACTTTTGATACCATCTCTGTCTTGTCAGCTAAAATTTGTTCTACATCTGTCATTTCTTCAATAGCATATTTTGGACATAGTCTATCCATAGAAGCAGACATAATTACTGATATTTTTGATATTATAGCTACTATTTTATGATTCCATTCTTCAAAAGTCTCCTTCAGTATTTTCATTGTTAGAACATTTTGCAACATATTGCAGGTTTGTAAATCTTTCTTCTACCTAAAAAATTTAGTCCCCTCTAGTGTCCAGTTTTTGAAATCGTTCCAAAATCTTATTGTAAAAGTTTAAATATTCCAATTTTATCTGAACCCTTAGTCCATTTATAACTTTCTAAGATCAAAATCTTATTTAGCTTTTTGCTATTTATTTCAGATTCTTTAAATGCTTAAGCTTATGATTAAAATTTTCCTTCTTTCACCTAGCATTTTCAGATTTGTTAATCTGAAGGTCTCTAATAGCTTAGAAGTAGTTAATGAGCAATTTCTGAAAGTGATTAGAAAGTCAGGTTTGCAAACTTAGTGTCCTTTAAAAGTCTCTTCTGCAGTTGAAAGCAAGATGGCTAATCCCTTCATCTCCTGGTGCTCAAACCCATGGAAAACTGCTGCCCTGCAGTCTTCTCATGAGGAACAGCTGTATGGAGCACATGTGGGTGATCTCCTGTTCTCTCCTTATCTGGAGAGGTTCCAAGGAACCAGTCTACTCCCCAGTTCCTTAGTCTTTCCCACGGTTGTCAGCTCCACTTTCGTGGAGGCATCTTCAGTTCGCCATACCTCCCCTAGAAGTCCCAAGTTCTTTTTTTCTTTACTCTTTGCTCTTTTACAAACCTTTACTCTTTGCCCTGTAGCACCTGCTCTTTTCATGGCTAATTGCTCCTTCCAAGCAGTTGCTGTAGATACCTGTCATCTAAGTTACATTTATGGGTTTATTTTACAGCATCCAAGAACTGATTTTTGTGAGGTGAACAATTCAGGCTCAATAAACATAAAAGAACTTTTCATTAGTTATTACTATTAAAATTAGACTCTGGGAAAATTGATTGCTGCATATGAATGACAAGTTTATAAGCTTAGAACAGAACAGTGTTTCTATAGACTGAGAGGAAATTTTAAAGGACATTTTATGTGGGAGGTTTTTATACTGAGCGTTGTTCACTGGCATATCCAGAGCTTTTACACCTGGTATTTGTACTAATCCAACATTGTTTCCTTTTTCTGAATGCAGAAGTCCCGTCGTATAAAACATTAACACAGTTGTTCCTACCTTTAATATCCAGGACCAATTTCTTCTTCTTTAATAATTGGGATAGGATGTTAATCTCTGTTAAAATTAACCAGAGTCCCATTTTGACCCAGGATAGATTTTTACCTTGCTTATAGGATTATACTATTTTTTTTAAAAAAAATTGAATGGCAGCACATTAAAATAAAGTGCTATATGGAACTCTGTAGAAGTAACAACGGTTGTCCAAGTGAAAACATCCACCCACCATCACCAGCTGGGCGCCCTCCAGATGTACCTAAGACAACAGCTCCCACCCACAGGAGATCTAGGAATTCTGCTCCCATTACATCTGGAGGCACTTGTTGCTGAAGAGCAGTGCAGTTCTTAGCAAAAATAGATTCTACATCAGCATGCAGCTCCTGCGTGCTGCAAAATAATATTTAAATCATCATTGGACAATCTTAAAACAAGTGAGATCTACTACAAATTTTTGCAATGTTCTTGTTTAGAATATCTACCAGCCATGCCTTCTTTCATTCCAGCTTCCCTAGTCCCCTACTTTCCATCCCATTCCAAATAATTAACGTTCTGTGGCAATTTAGCAAACAGTGTTCTCATTTTGCTTGCTTCATGACAGGCTCGCCATGTTAGGATTTCTTTTTTTAAAAAGGTTTTTTTCTGCTTCAGCATACTGCTGCCCCCCCCCCCCTTCTTAGCAGGATCATTCTGGTGACTGAATTTGAGTTTCCTGTAAAAACATGTCAACAACAAGAAACAGGTTTGCACAATGCATCGATTTCATTAGCAAATGGACGAATATTTAGATTTAACTGGCTTGCAGATAGGTTTTTAATTCTACTGGACAGAGAGAATCCACTTGTCTTTGTGGTCACTTTGTTTCATATTTGTAAAAGAAGCTTATCTGAGATCTTTAAACGTGCCTTAGTTTTTAGATGAGACCAAAATGCTGCAAGGCATATCCCTTTAACCTTTTGGCAGTGATATTCATGTAACCGATTCTGCGAAACCCAGATGTTCTTTTGTAGTGGGAGTTTTATTACCTACCTCAAATTGCTGGAGAAATATTTCTTACTTTCTGCCACCCAATTCCTTCTATGCAGAAAAAAATACAAAATAACCATTGAAAGAAGAAATCAGTTGGAAGAATACAACATCGGCAAGCACCGACAGTTACGGGAAGACTCCATCAGGTCTCACTTTTCTGCTGCATGAAATAGAAACAAATTGCTTTTGTGGGGGAAATCTATAGACAAATGGACACTACCAAAGACTGCCACAGGAAAAGAAGTTCATTAAGGACTCCACCTTTTAAAAGTAGAGTCACTTGTCTTAATTTTTTTTCAGAAACTCAGGAATGATTTATTAGCCACACTATGCCACATGGCCTTTTTTATCTCATGGAAAGATAAATGACAAAAAAATACTGTTTTTCTCATAACAAGACATTATTAATACTTTGTGGATATCTCAAGGCAGGTTGCTCTGGTCAATGATTTGAGGTCTTGGTGATGTAAATGTTCCTTCATGATGCCTTGTTGTGAACATCAGATGGTTCTTCACTGAAACACACACCAGATCATAAATTGCTTTCATAGACACAGGGGCAGGTTCATACAAGGAACAAAAATATGTTCAGGGTTGAATTGTGGAGACAAGACGGGAAGGAAGAGCATGTAGCTAGTTCAGTGCAATATAGTTTTGGAAAAAGAACAATCATGCATTTCATTTATGGGACAGAAGAAACCTCAAGGCGGAAGAAAAGGAGGATTTGATTCTGAGTGCCAATTTACATCTCACATTTGTTCTGAAATGGTTCCATAGTGATTCCTAAGAAAATTCTCTCACAACTCTATTATTAATATAAGGAAGAGACCTATATCCATGGGAAAAGAAAATTCGTTTTCAGATCAATTCCATTTTACACTGAATTTTTATTGCAAGGAAGTTTCCCCCTCCATATTATCTTCACATCCAGGGGGAAATGCCTCCTGATTTTAGATCCATCTCCTCCAACTTGGTGCCCTCTAGATGTGCTGAGGCTATAACTCCCTAAATTTTCAGCACTGCTGTTAGGAATCTGAGAATTGTAATCATACTTTGAGAGTCAATGAAGAACCGGTTTAGACACGGACTAGGATCTTGAAGGCCCCAGTTCAGGTCCACACTTACCCCTGGAACCTCTTTGAATGACTTTGCACCACTTTGTCTCAATCCAACCTACCCCATGAAGATTTTGCCATGTGGATAAAATAGAGGAATCAATATTACGTGTCACTGAGATCTGACTAATAAATGCATGATCTGTCCGGACAGCACTACACAGGTGAAGGCTTTCTTAGAAATTTGGTATAAGGTTAATACAAAAGGGTTTTGGAGAAAAGAGATGCAGTTTTAGGCCAGGTGTGTACATAAAGTGGTAGGATCCTGAAGTGAGGGTTTTCTACTTCAGAGTGCAAGTATCCTTCTGAATATTTTCCTATATATGAAAAAAAGTTAAAGTTTTTTGAAGTGTTTCAGAGAAGATGGTTCTAGCTAATCCTCTCAGTGGTATGCTAGTTTCTATGAAGCATTTAAAGATTGCTAAAACTTTAGCAATTAAAGATTGCTAAAGAGTCTAGTCGGTTCTACCAACTGGATTTCTATCTTACACACTTGATATGTAAATCAGATTTTACAACTGCCAATGACATGAAACAAAATCTCTGCCTCTAATCAAAGCACATGCTGCTCTCTCTACAGGCATCCATGATATGCATGGATGCACAAACGCACACACACCCCATTGGAATTCAGGTGAAGTTCTCTGGATGGGGCCCTGCTAGACCTTAAGTCTGTAACTGCTATTGCTGAAATTTAAACTAATGAGATGTTTGGCCCCCACAGTTGTGTGCGCTGCAGCTGTGAGAGTCCTGGTGTCTCCCCCTCCCCCATAGGGTTTGAAACCTGGCTTTTTGAAAACCAGGCTGTTACTCAACAGTATGTTCCACTGAAACCTGTGGTACTTACTTATGAGTAAAGGAGTGTAGAATCAGGCTGCAATACAGCACCCCTGCTCTGCATTCTTCATAGGAAGCAAATACCCCACTGCCAACTTGGAGCCTTGGGTGTGGCCCAAACTTTGTAAATATCAAATGGCAGAATGGTTTTGTACAGCAATGGAAGTCACAAGTATTTTGTATTAAAAAAAGATATTCTGGTTTAACATTTTATTTTTAGGTATTCCTGTATTTTTCTATTAGAAAAATGGTTATCTATTTGGGATAACTGTTTCTCTTTGAAAAAGATATCTGTTTGGGATATCTGTTTTATGTTAGAAAATCAAATGAAGAGCATATTTGAAAAACGATTTTTTTTTCTTTTTAAGCCTGAATAATCATGAGCAGAGAACTTCTTAGATTCAATAAAAGTTGAATCTTTTATATCAGCATGGTCGTAGGCTGGCCGTTCTCCCTTTCCCTTCTTTCGATCAACAGTGGCAACATGTAAGAGTTGAAAGTTGATGCTCCTATTCCCAAGGTCATGATAGCACAAGAACAGCCAATCTTTTTGCAGCCAGCAGCTATCCCCTTTTTTCCAGGAGGTTTTGGACCCCCAAGGCCACACAGTGGTGATGCCATGAAGCCCAGGGATGGGGGTGGGCATTAATGACAAAATAAGCATGTTGGTGCATTTATTTTTGCCTTTATTTACAAAAAAACATACACATAGAAACAATAAACTCTCTGTTGTTTTTTGGACTAGGTGTTCTGTCTTCTGCCCCAACATTTCAATCTTTATAAACCAAGAAAGTTCTCATGAACTTCCAAACAAGTCTAGCTAGTAGCACCCAGAGAGGTAGTGTGCATGCTACACACCATTCACAGCAAACACCCACTAGCAATGTCAGCCACCAGTATTTTTCCATGTCTCATGCTGGCAAAGGAGTCAGATGTTCCTCTTGCCCATCTATCAGAAGTGGACTCATCTTTCTTCCATACTGGTTTCTGAACTGGGCATATTGCAGAAAATTTGGGGGCATACTCTAGGGCTGCTAGATGTAGGCTGCAAAAATCCAGGTATCCACTAGATGGCAACAACATCTCCTTTTCACGTCTAGAGGTCATCTGGATTTTCACAGCCCAGGTCGGGTAGCCCCAGCATCTACATTCAATTCATGCAGGTTACAGGCCATAGTTTCACTGCTACCTTATAGTGGGTGATAAAAGGGAGCCCCCAGGTTAAGAATGCCCTGGTTAGAGATGACCCATAATTAAGAACAGAGCCTATTGTAGCAAAGTTCAAGTTAAATAGACAATGGTTCCAGTTCATTACTACTTACACAGTTTTATACAATAATACTGTTCTGGCTTACATACAAATTTGACTTAAGGACAGACCTTGGGAAC